ATGTTCTTTTAAACCACACTAGAAGATGTAGTTACGGTGTTGGAAATTATTTCAAAAGCCTAGAGATCTATATCAACCCCTAATCATGAAATTTAAAGCTCTAATTATAGTGTAGTTCAAGCATATCTGAATAGTTGAAATCTTGATAATTGACAGTCTACATGATGTGCTATGTGATACATTATTTTTAACACTTTATTTTTTGGGAAAATTACATACATATCTGTTATAATTTGGATTATTGCAGCTCTACCGAATAGCTTCTATTATTACCATTGCATCCATTTTTTTCATGTTAAAACAAAAATTTTAAAAACAGACAACTTTACCTTATTTTTTTTACATTTATATATTTCGAGGTCGATATATTCAAATAGAAGGTTCTCCAGCATCAAAACGACCATTCATAGGGTGTTTGAGGTGCTCTCATTTCTAGAATATAAGATTGATACCTTAAATAGATATTTTCCTCTTCTCTTTAGGAACATGCAAGATGTGTATTGTTATCGATCTTTACTTTTAAGTTGGCCACTCGGGACTAAATTTTACAAATTTCTCAACCCTGCGTTTCTGTGGGTAGGTCGGATTAGAATAACAGAAAACAAAGATTAAAAAAAAAAGTTAGGCAAATGACAAGTTCTAATGGGGGGTCTTTCAATCATTTTCAGTATGGAGTTTCTAGTGAATATTATGGAGAATATTCTTTAGGTGCACTTGGATTTATTTTACATTGGCGTTGTGCTGATCCTATTATCTTAACCATTAGATTGATTATTTTAGTTTATATGAATTTCGTAACATTTCCAAAAAGAAATAATAAATAAGTGAATCCAATCTAATATGCTCCTGTGGGGGCAGATGTGCATTTACTCCTTCCTCGGATGACCTGATTGGAAAGATTTTTTTTTTTTTTTCGAGTAACATTTCAAAAAAATAATAATAACTAAGCGAATCTAGTCTAATATGTTCCTGACGGAGCAGATATGTCTCTACTCCTTCGTCTGGATGACCTACTTAGAAGGATTTCTTTTTTTCAATTTGAAAATTTTCTAGGGTTCCTAAATCATTAGATGATTGTTTTCAAAAGATAAATTTTTGAATTTTAGGATTTCTAGCCCTTCGATTTCATTATCAAAAAATTGGGTGCTCTCGTTTTAATTTTGAGACATTATTCTTTTACAACACATAGAGAGTGCTATTTGGATTTTTTTTTTTTTAATAGGGGTTAGTCTAGGAGTCTAGAAGGCTACATATCCATAATTTAAGATCCTACAATTACTCATGGATTAGGTTTTATCCGAAGGAGTAAATCGATAGAATACTCCTGAAGGAGCATAAAGCCTTTTGCCACAACAAATTATCAATATGCACCCGATCTCATGCAAACACCACGAGGCCCCTTTTCATAATTTATGATTTTGATAGATTGAGGACCCAAAACTCTAGCAAAGTTTAAATGGATGCATTTGTAGCTCGAAAAAATATATTTAAAATAAATTTATTTGTGCCCCCAAAAATGGATTTAGTGATCTTGGAGTGATGAAAATCTTTTGATCTTC